CCTGTTTGTTGCTGCTTGGATATCCAGCCAGGCCTTCCAGTTGCCCCTGCTTTGCTCCCTGGATGTTTCCATCTGTGTGGAAACACACAGATTTGGGTTTTGTTTCCCCAAAGTCTCATCTGTAGATGACTCTCTAATGACACCTCTTTCTTCCTCATAGTTCAGACAGCAGCTCCTGTGAAATGTATAAGGGCATCAAACATGCTTCAAGAGGTGCTTACATTCACTGCTCTCCATGAGAAGCAGGGGGTTTTGTATCTGTATCTTTTGTCCCTGGGCTCAAAGTGCAATCCTGACTGCTCTCACTGCTGTAGATAGGGTGCTTGTGAGAGCTGAAGGGTTGCAACACAGCCAGGTAGGGGAGGCTAAAATACTGTGCCCCACGAGTTTTGTGAGGACCTAAACTGCTAAGACCCCAGGGAAGAAACAAGTATTTGGTTATGAGGCCAGAGGAGGGATAGTGGAAGTAATTTTGCTGTTCAAAGCACCATGTGGCACATCAGGGAATGTGTAATTCCACACAAGCTCCCTCTTAAGCACCCTTGTAAAAACAGGACTTTGAATCCCTTGATATGAAGGCAGTGCATGTTGCCAGTGCCAAGGTGTACATGTGGTGGGTGAAAGCCGTGGTGAGGATAGAGGACCCTTCCTCCTCATGGCCACGTGCAGATGCCAGGGAGTGGAGCCATGGGCCACAGAAGGGGGTTCCTGCTGGCTTAGAGGCAGGAGCGTGGGGTCCTTGATGCTGAGAGTAAGAGTGGTCAAGAGTGCTCCCACACTGCATGCGGAGGTCCAGACATCCGAGCTGATGACAGCCGAATCAGGATGTTTCTCTCTCTCACTCCTCCAGCCTTGAAACACCTCAGGCAAAGGACATGGCAGCCCCCACTGAAATCCCACCCATGATCCTGGTGCAAACAGAGGAGGAAACACAAACCTACCCTGGTGAAATGCCCCAGGGATGAAATGGCACCCCTCAAGTTGCGAGGTGAAGCCCAAGTCCAAACCTCCAGACCTGGTTTCCTGGAAGCAGACAGGGTGCCTCTGTTTGCCTCCCAGGCAGGTGTGCAGAATCACTCCTCCACACTCCAATCAGCAGCAGATGAGGAGCTCCCTTCTGCCTCCCACACCGAGCCTGATGGATCAGCTCCAAACAGGCAATATCAGAGGAAAAGCAGTGTCCCCTGCAACACTGCAACAGCAATGAAGAGAGTTCATGAAACCTTAAACTGAATCACTAAACCCAAGTGAAGTGCGATAAAGCTAGCATGAGGTATTCCTGTCCTACAGCTGCGAGGGAGCAACAGAAAGATGCCATTCAGCTGAGAATCACGGTTACGGTACTGCTATTTCAGCTCACTGACCTCTGCTGGAGCTTGCTTTTACCCCTGGGCATCACGTGGCAGTAAACCTTTTACTGAGCACTTGCACATGTGCCTCTGCAGAATTGCTCAATCCACTCACTCCTGTCTGTACCCAGGGGTGAGCCAACCTTCATATTTACCCTATCCAGCCTCTCCTCTGATCCTCCCCACACAAAACCTGCCCAAAATATAGTCAAAACTTTGAAGTCTGCTTTGTTGCTATAAGTGAAAGGAAAACCACAGTGTAATGTGGTGCTTCTCAGGGCAAAAGCTTCCCTTTTCCACTCTGGCACTGAGCTTTTGAGGTGCTGGCTGGCATCAAGATCTTCTAGACATAAAGCTGCCCTGCATGCCATAATGCAGAGACCCATATGTGGAAAACACTGGTCTGTATTGCCTAACTTTTGCATAACTCACCTTCACCTCAAAAAATCCCTTTTGTTATTTAACAAGGCTGGGGGGTTGCATCACTGCCTGCAGCACTTCTGCTTAGTAATGCTAGATGTGTGAAATACAGACACCTAACACCATCTACTTTCTTCAGCCCCAATTTTCTCTCATTTGCTGCTGGATTTTATCCTTTAATCCTCTCACAATGCTCTTCTCTGCATTAAGAATAATCTGAGCAGTAATCTTTACAAGGTGGACACGGAAACAAGACAAATTTAACGGTTTGGTTATGAGGACAGAGGAGGGATTGCACCTCATAATAGTTCTCATTTGCTAGGAAGGAATTAGTTATTGAGGGGTTAGAAATGAAACCCAGGTTCCTGTCTGTCTCAGCCCACATGAATATGGCCTTTCAACAGCTGCTGGAAAAGCTTTAAGTTTTTTATGGCACTTTCCCAAATAAGCTAAATTAGCCTGAAAAAGATATAATCCTGAATACAGAGGTCTGTGGAGAGATCATACTGAAACTCCTGGCTGTAAGGCCAAACATGCTGGCATCATTGCCCTGAATTCTGAGGGCTTAGAAGAAGTCAGGTTGAATATTATGGAAAATACTCAAACCCCATGGTGACTGCAATGGAAGTGAACGAAATGCAATGGAAGTGCATTTTAGATTTCTCTATTTCCAAGTCATTAAAAACTTGGATCTCCAGAACCGAGGGCCAATGCACCCAGCACAGGCAGCACACCACCTCTAGAAAAGCTCTACAAACCACAAGATTTTATCTTTGTTCCTGTGCACAGTTTATAAAGAAGTCCATTACTTATTATTACTATTATTACTATTATTATTATTACTACTACTATTATTTTGCCAGCTGGGACCCTAAAGGGAGAGGAAAGTCTTTTCAGCAGTCATATTTCTGAGCTACAGAATGCAAAGTCCTGGGGATCTGGCTCTGCCATAACATAATAATATATATAGCATATAATATAGCATAATATAATACAGCCCAGCATGAGGAAGACCATTTTGACTGTTAAATTACTGGAGCATAGCAAAGCAATAAATAATGCCAGAATACATGCCTTGTTATCATCACCCCATATTGTATTACTTCCTCCTTTTTGAAAAGAGGGTAACTTATTTAAGCTCCTTCTGCTCATACCCAACCTTGCCAGAGCAGCCCAGGCACAGAGCAGGCGAGCAGCAAGACACAGACACAAACCGGTGTAAGCAAACTGCACCTTTGCAACTCAAAGCTTACATACCTGGGAAGACTCCACTAGGTAAGAGCTTTTGCTGCATGGGATTCATTCCCCAAATTATGTTGGATCGAGTGCATCATTCTATGCATGGGTTTTAATTGTCATTTTGGCTCCTGGTGGTTCAGAGCTCCTCCCAGGACATAGTGCCTTACATTCAAGCACTGACTTTCCAAGTGAGAGACACCCCAAAAGATACGGATTTTGCTCCGAGAAGAACCCTTATGGGCTAGGAGGGCCTCAGACCTATGTTTAGACAACTGAATTGAGCCCACAACGTGACCAGGTTGGTGGTGAAGTGCCCCAGACAGTAGCAATGAGCTCCCTGTGTTGAGTTCTCTGAGAGTGGTTGGAAACCATCTGTCACATATCAGAACAAACCACATGTTATTATTGGCATTATCATCACCCAAATGAAGGATTCTATCAGCATGGGAAACATCAGCACTTCTAACATCTCACTCTAAAAAAAGATGCCACTTCCAAGTCAGCCCTTTACATGTACCCTGTGGCCCCTCCTGCCTTGGTCTGCCTCTGGCATTGCCGGTTCATGGATGTATAATGCAAGTGATTTGTTTGAGGGCTGGCACCCAGAGGTCTGGCTCATCTTGCCCTGTAAAGATGCTCCAACGTGAATTAATGGTGAAGCCCAGAGATGCAGCAGCTTTCCGTAGGGGCTGGGGCATGACTGCCAGGAAGTTTCATTATTTACCAGCAGGGACATGGCTCTAGAAGGGTTGAGGAGATTTAAGGATGCCTATGATATAATTTGCCCATCACAGGTGTCCCTCCACCTTGTGCTGGCCAGGGCTCTTGCCCCAGGTCTAGCAGTATCTTCAAGCAAGCAGTCCCTGTAGCACTGCTGCCTGTCAGCTAAGTAAGCCCCTGTGCTGCCTCTGGAAAGAAAGGTGGAGAAAGACTGGAAGCTCAGAATGAGAAAAATGTATCTTTAAGTACAGGTAGGCTTAAGTGATAGAAACAGCACAGGATACAAATACCAGGGCTGTTGCAATTGAAAACAGGCATTTTAAAATCAGACATGATGTCCTGGGTTCAGTAGTAGCAGTCATTTATTTTTCTAGTTCTTAGTAGCTGGTGCAGTGCTGTGGGTTTGACTTTTGGCCTGGGAACAGTACTGATAACACCAATGATTTTAGTTGCTGCTCAGTAATGTTTACTCTGACCAAGGACTTTGTGAGTCTCATGCTCTGCCAGGGAGGAGGGGAAGCCGGGAGGAGGCAGAGACAGGACACCTGACCCAAACTAGCCAAAGAGGTATTCCATACCACAGCACGTCATGCCCACTATATAAACTGGGGGCAGTTACCCAGAAGGGCAAGATCACTGCTCGGTTGGGCTGGATATCGGTCGGTGGGTGGTGAGCGGTTGTATTCTCTTCCCTTGTTATTTCCCTTATCATTATTATTATTGGTGCTAGCAGTAGTGGTTTGTGGTGTACCTTGTTTGCTGGACTGTTCTTATCTCAACCCGTGGGAGTTACATTCTTTCAGTTCTCCTCCCCATCCCTCTGGGAGCGGGGCCAGGGAGGAAGAGGGGGAGTGAGAGAGAGGCTGGTGGCTGAGTTTAAACCACGACACGTGATCATACATTCTCCTGCAAATCTCAGTATTTCTCCAGCGTTGTCAGTAGTGCCACTTACTTGCTAATACTTACAGTAAATCTGCCAGCATTTAAAGATGCAGTAATTACACAGATAAGATCCTCTTGCTTTTATGACAAGGATTCCTCAGAGAAACTACAAAAGGTTGATTAAAAAAAAAAGGATTAAATTCATCTTGTGCAGAGGGAGTAGCTTGAGGGCAGACCTTTGACAGCAGTGAGGATTGCTGCCACCCTGCTAACGAGGGAAACTGACAGGTTTCTATCCTTTCTGCCAGGATAGAAGGCAGAAAGGGAGAAGTGAATCACCAAACATCCTATTCTGTCATTTCAGACCTGAGACCAAACGTGGGCTTTAAAGGCCTCACCTGTGCAACAGCAAACTCCTGCTTTTGCTAGTGAAGAGCCACCAAACACAGCACAGAGGTGCAGCACTGCCAGCTGGAAGGGAAACATTCCCAGGATACCTGGCCCTTTTGTCTTGCCATGGCCACAAAAGCCAACAGCTCTAAGAAATCCCTCCAGCTGCTCCTTTTCCAGGTTGCTCTTCTAGGGCCTGTCTTCTGTGGGAACGTGCTGGTCTGGCCAACAGAAGGCAGCCACTGGCTGAATATGAAGATAGTTACAGAGGAGCTCATCCGCCGTGGGCACAGCGTCACTGTCCTGGTGTCCAACGCTTCCCTCTTCATTAAATCCAGGGATGATGCCATGGAGAAGTTTGAGGTCTATAACGTGCCCTTCAAGACGGATATCATCGAGACCATGATCGAGGACCTAGTGGCACTGTGGCTGAACAACAGGCCAACCACCCTGACCTTCTGGCAGTTTTACAGGGAGATGGGGAAGCAGATCAAGAACTGGCATGACATGAACAGGCTGATGTGTGATGCAGTGCTAACCAACCACGAGTTGATGGCCCACCTGCAGGGGTCCGGCTATGACCTGCTGCTGTCAGACCCGGTCACCCTCTGCGGGGACCTCCTGGCTCTCAAGCTGTCCATCCCCTTCGTGTACTCGCTGCGCTTCTCCCCAGCCTTCACCGTGGAGAGGCACTGTGGCAAGATGCCAGCACCACTGTCCTATGCACCTGCAGCCCTGTCAGAGCTCACCGACTGCATGTCCTTTGGTGAGAGGATAAAAAACACCTTGTCTTACCACTGGCAAGACTTCATTTTTCAGAGCTACTGGGGACACTGGGACACCTACTATAGCAAGATCTTAGGTAAGTCTCCTGTTACTTTACTGCTCATTACATCCCAGCCTCCTCCTTAAGAGCTGCAGAGCTACAAAGCTGGCAGGGCCGCAAAGTCTGGGAGAGGTCAGCAAGTAGTTTGTCATTATGTGCCTATGTGGAAAAGAGAAGGAGCCACCAGGGTCCATCAGTTTCACCCGCTCCCCCATCAGGGTGCTGTGCTGTGCTATGCCATGCATTGAGACAGCAGTCAGTGGTAATACCCATTGATGGATTTTACTTTTGCCATAATGATTTTTAATGTGGAGATCGAAGCAACTTCCACAGCATTTAGGGCCCTCAGCAAGGTTGCACGGCTTACACATTCCCCCCCTCCAACAACTGCCTACACATCCAGGTACAGAGCTGTTTTCCTAATCCAGAATATTGTAACAAGGAGAGGGGAGCTGGTAAACTACAAGACAACCCCATTACCATCAGCAACAATGCTGAAACCCATTGTGGCTTTTGAATAGAGACTTCACTTATGTCACTGGTCACATAAAACCAATTCTCTTTGCACAAAACAAGTTTTGTTAAAACATAGCCTCTACCCACAAGCAAACAGTGAAAGCAGCAAGTCTTTCTCTGCAGGCTTTTCTTCTGGGCTGTTTCGAGCGAATATGTAGAAAAAGATGTTTATTTAGGTATTAATCACATGTAATCAGCATGCCATTTTTAGTGACCTCTCATTAAGGTCCTTACAAAGAGCACTGTAAACCTCTCGGGGTTCAATTGCCTGCAAATACCTGTATGCTGCAGGACTGTACGCCTCAAGTACACAAAACTGTTGTTATATGCACAGCAGACTAGGTGTCTCAGCTTGACTGCTCACAGCTCAGCTGCTTCCACCACCCTCGTTTTCATCCAGGAGAAGATGCTTTAGGCTGCTTTATGGAAGCCGCAGCAAAAGCCTTGCACAACAACTACAGGAAACCATTGTGTAACAGAGCTGCAGAGAAGCGCAGTGGTGATAATTTTTAGCACAGTGAAGAGGACTTACAGGATTTCTTAATTGCACATCAGAAGGGTGACCATAAATAAAACTGTTTAACAGATTTTCTGATTCAACTCATAGTGTATAGCTGGCACTAAGTGGCAGGGGGGCAGCCCACCAGCTTTTTCTGCTTGTGATGCATGCGTTGGAAGAGACAAGTTCACATGTGGACAGTCTTACTCTGGTATTGGAGTCACTTGCTGTGTAGTTTTATCCATCTCAAGATGCAAGTTGTTAGCTGCAGCCCTGGATTGCTACCTTAAGGGCACTGCGAATGGATGCTCATTGGCTTTATAAAGCAGCAGGGTGCCCACACAGTAGGTGAACATCTTTGGTGCATCCCAGCTGTGCTTCAGAGAGCCAGAAGAATGAAAAAGTCGCCTCTTCTACCAAACGAATAACATAGAGGCTGTAGTTAGACAGGCAGGAGGGCTAGAATAACCAACAGGCCACAGTCCACACTGGATTTTGCCCTTCAGGGCTGACAGGTCTCCCTTCTGCTCCAGCGGAAGCGTTGCACAGCTCCAGAGAAGCCATTTACCACCAGATGGCGCCAGCTGGTCCCTGTCACAGTTTAACCCAGGAAACCACGCCATTACCCACGCAGGACCTCACACCGGCGACCTTGGCTGCGTGTCCTCGGGAGCACGGCACTGTCTCGCATGCCCAGCCCAGCCTGGGAGCACTGCTGCTCCCTGTGGGGCACTGCCGCGCAGGGCAGGCTATGGCTGGGAAAGGGGTGGCGGTGCTGTGGCTGCTGGCTGTGTTGGGCTATGGGTTGGGAGGGAAGGTGTTGGTCTGGCCGGCTGACAACAGCCACTGGCTGAACATGGAGTACATACTCGATGAGCTTGTGGTCCGGGGCCACGAGGTGACTGTGCTACTGCCTTCATGCTTCCTCATCCTCAACGCCACACAGGCCTCACCCTTCCAGTTTGAGGTGATTGAGGCACCGATCACCAAAAAGGAGATGGCTGCCATGCTGGAAGAAGGTTTCTATTTTTGGTTTTATGAGGAGAGTCAGCTACCCATCTGGGAAAGTGTTTACAGGATGGCTCAAGTGCTGTACAAGATGGAGAACTTAACCAAAACCATTTGTGACAGAGTCCTGAAGAATAAGGCACTGATGCAGAGACTGAGGGCATCCAACTTCGATGTCCTCTTGGCAGACCCGCTGGTACCCACCGGGGAGCTGATTGCTGAGAAGCTGGGTATCCCCTTCATATACACCATCCGGTTCTCCATGGGCAACACAGTGGAGCGGCTTTGTGGGACACTCCCAGCACCTCCTTCCTACGTACCAGCCACCCTAAGCGGCCTAGCAGATAGGATGTCCTTCCTGGAAAGGCTAAAGAACATCTTCTCCTACACTGCTCAGGATTTTGTGTATCATTTCCTTCTCTGGGGAAGCTGGAATCAATACTACACTGATGTATTAGGTAAGGCTGCTTTTACTTCCAAAAATTACATCTGCTGTATGTACAAGAGTAAATACCCAGAGCTGAGAGTGTAAGGCACAAATTAGAAGCAAAACAGCTCTGGACACACTCTCTGTCCTCCAAAATTCCCATGTCAAGTCAAACATTCCAGGCAAGTACAAACGTTACCTGTTAATCCTGACCTGCTGACACTAGTACAGATAAGTTCATACAGGTATGGTGCTAAAGCCACTTGAAACACAGCTCATCAGTCGTGTTCATAGATGAATCATGACAGACACTTAAAAACAGTGAAATAATACTATATACCCACCAAACACTAGTAGGGAATTAAACCTTTGGAAATAGAAATAAAAAATGGGTTTGGAAAGCTATACAACACTGCCTTTTTTTCCCCTAGCACCCTTCTTGTTTGCTAGCTTATCTCAAAATGAGAGATAAGAGCCTCCTCCAGTCTTTTAAAGGACTGGGAGAGCAAATGAGCCCCAGTTTGCAGTGATAGAAGGTCCCCAGCACAGAGTTCTTTGCTTTTTTTGAAGGTGTCTAAAGGAACTATTAAAATATAGTTTTATTTCTTTAGAGATATTTTTCTTTTTTATATAATGGTTGCATAATTATTGTCACATTTCTGCTCTGGTTATTGTAATGCTTAAAAGAAATAGGGCAAATATACATGCATTGGAGGTGGGCAGCTGATTTGTTAAGACATCCTACTATTAGAGTAGCTAGCTGTGTGTTTATGTGTTGCTTTATCATGTTTGACAGAGAGTAGGAAACCTTGTGCTGGTAGAAGCATGGTTTGCCAATCTCCTGTTGTGTAAGCCTCAGGGCTGCTTGGATTTTGGGTTGTCTTTTTAATTGCTAAATGTGGGGGTTAGCATTTAACACTCTTATGTGTAATTCCTGTTTTGTTAGCTGTGTTAGCCTACCTGTTCTCTACTGGGATATGCTTTGATCTGGAGTGTATCTAGTCCTGAAGGAGGTGTAAAAGAGGCAAGCATCCCACAGAAATGGGGCAATGTCCCAGCTCCTGCAGTGCATGCAAGCACCTTCTCTTTTGCTTTGGAAAATCTTCTTCAGGGTTCTTATTATTCTAGCTGCTTTCCTAGAGCTACCTAAGGCTTTTTCAAGAGATGAGGTTGAAGCATGAGGAAAGACTGCTTGCTCCACTGTCAGTCTAGTCAGGGAAGGTCACATCATTGTGCTGAACTCCTGGAGGAGTGCTCCAGCCCTGTTTAGACTCAGTCTGACCCTCATTCACCCTCTGCTCAGGAGAGAGGCTGCCTGTTCTTTTCCTTGAACACATCAATAGCACCAAGCATCCAAGCATCTCCACCACCTCCAAAGGATACAGTCAAAAGGAGAACTCAGGTCTCTTCTCTTGGCACTCTTTGTCCTGGACTACACGACATATATACACTGATGCCAGTTTGCAGCATCCTCCCAAGAGAGGATACATAAGCAGGAAGGTGAGCAAAACCTGTGCTCCTTACCTACTTCTGTTTGTCTCCCGGGGTGGCCTGATACTGGAGTCATCTCTACCAGGACTGTGCCCTTCCAGCGTCAGTGTCGTGTATCCACATCTGGTCACAGAGAAAACAGAACTAGAGAACCCTGTGGGCTAGATGTGAATCACTGCAGGGCATTTTGCGCCTAATAAATGAGAAGATAAAAACTGTTAACCAGCTTTACAGGTAGCTTGGTTCTTACAGGGCAAAGAAGCAAATCTAGGCTGACAATTGACCAAAGAGATATCCCATAGCACATGATGTTGTGCTCAGCAAAGAAAGCTTGGGGATGGAAGGGGGAGTTTGCCAGGGCTGTTCAGTGACACTCTGGGTGGTGAGCTGGTGTGAGCAATTGCTCTTTCTGAATTGCCAGTTTTTCTTAGGTTTATTTTTTGTTGGTTTTTTTTTTGTTTGTTTATTAAGCAGTCTCTATCTCAAACCATGAGTTTTGCAACTTTTGCCCTTCCTTTTCCCCTCCTACTGTGGGGGAGTGAGAGGCAACAAGTGAGTAAGCAGAAACAGGAGTTGCTCCAGAATGAGATTTGCTGCTTGCTGGCATGCCCTCTGGCAAGCTTGGCACCAAGTGGATGTCAGTTTTATTGGCTGGCTCTTAAGTGTTTGCACACTGTAGCAGTGAACTCCTTCCAGCTTAGTCAGACTGGAGTTGTACATGGATCACTGAGATGATGGGACCAAGGTTCCCCTGGCTGCTCTGGACCTACGCATGCTGCTGGAGCACTGGCTTTTGTGGGAAGGTGGTGGTCTGGCCCACCGACGCAAGTCACTGGATCAATATGAAAGTGCTGCTGGAAAAGCTTGTTCTCCAGGGTCATGAAGTGACTGTGCTGGTGGCCTCAAGCAATCTGCTTATCAACTACCAAGACACCTCCTCCACTTTCACCTTTGAGGTCCTGCAAGTCCCCTTTACCCAGAAGGACCTGGATGATGTCATGGATGACTTCCTCAATTTCTGGATGAATGAGGTCTCTAATCTCTCACCCTGGGAGTTCATGTGGAGGATGAAAAAAGACCAGGAGGTCTTTACCAATATGTTGAAGCAGACCTGTCATACCTTTGTGACGAACACCCAACTGATAGCAAAGCTGCAGCAGGCCAATTTTGATGTTCTGATTGCTGACCCCCTGTCTATGTGTGGGGAGCTTGTAGCAGAAATCCTAGCAATCCCTTTTGTCTACAGCTTCCGCTTCTCTGATGGGAATGTGGTAGAGCGGCTGTGTGGTGGGCTCCCATCCCCACCTTCTTATGTGCCCGCTAGCACAAGTGGGTTGACAGATCGCATGTCCTTCACAGAAAGACTAAAGAACTTCCTCTTTTACTTTTATGTGGATTTATTTTTCTTGAAGTTCTGGCGAGATGAATGGGATGGGTACTACAGTAATGTCTTAGGTAAGGCAGTTGTTGAGTGGTTTCTCCTCTTGCATAGGCTGTGCCTTTTGAATGTCTGGTGCCTCGATGCTGTTGTCTCAAAATACTCAGTGGCCAGCAGAGATGGTAATCCTGTTTCAGTCACATGGAGGCTCTGCTTTCCCTTTTAGGTCTTGTCTAGTCTAACAGACACTACTAGAGTTTTGCTCTAGTTCCTCTTGAGGGTCTTTAGACCATGTTAGTACTGATCTTTGCCAATTATGATACTGCTGGTGAGCTCTTGCAGTGAGATGTATTCCCATTTTAGTGCTTTCAGAGGACTGTTGTCATCTTGATGACTGACACTTTCACAATTAAGGTGGTAGTAGGTAAAGGCTGGAGGACAAAATTGTTCATAACTGTGAGGCGCTGAAGGCAGCTCCATTGACAATACAGGGACAGAGTTAACCCTGTTGTAACTAGGAACACTGTCTGTCTCTAAACAACCACAGAGAAAAAAAAGCACCCTTTGCTCTCACTGCATGTCTGCAGGTATCATTTTGAATCCTGTGTAGTACAGGACACTAAGCATGAATTCATTTTCTCCAATACTAAATGCTAAGAACTGTCACCTTTCCCTTTCATTCACCATTCAGATTGTGAAATAGTTTCCTCAAACTAGACAAATCAATGAAATTTTTGTTCCAACCTAGTACAACTCAGGCTTGATTCAAAGTCTACTAAGGAGACCTTTTGTTCAATGGACTTCGAATCTTGCACAGAGTATCTGTGTTTAGGCAGATAAGGAGTGAACAGCAGGCACAAGGCCATCTATTCTGCTGCCCTTTAACCTCTTCGTGTGTTTCCCAAGAAAACCTCTGTGCTCTGCAAACTAGTCCCCTTTCCCCTGATTGTTATTTTTCTAACACCACATAAGATGCAATTACAACTTTGTATCATTGTACTTGTAAATGCAGGCTTTTTCATTTTCAGCCCTGTAACTTCGTAACTGACTCACTGTTCTTCACCTAAAAAAAAATTTAAAATTACTGGTGTAAATTCTAACGTTGATAAAGTAGCATAAGAAGACACTCTACAGATAGATAGATTTTTTTCTTGCTGCTTAGTTTGCTTGGTTCCTGCTTGCATTAGGCTTTAGACAATCATTTACCAACACTTCTAACCCTTTTACTCTCCACTTCCCCTTTATGGGGAAAATACTGCAAACATGACTTGCAACATGTACCTGAGAATATAGATGTTTCCAAATGGGAAGTTATAAAACTATTTTAGCCAATGTTTTTTTTTCTGTAGATCAGCTTCTGAAGACATTGGACTTTGCATAAAAAGACATTCAAAAAACATCTATGGATTTGGCTAAATTTTCCCAGTATGTGTCAGAAGGAGCCCCTACAAGAACTAGGGATAGATGCACCTGTAGGAGTAGTATTATTGAGTAATAGTAGTATTATTAGTAGTATTACTGTAGCCTGAGCAGCCACTGACTGAGTCACCATTTGAAAAATGCTACAGACCTTTAAGAACTTTCCTCCCCCCTGGCTGGTGAGCATCCATTTGTAATTCATCTATTTTTCATTCAGAACTAAATTTTCTGTGATTTTTCTATTCCCCAAAATGCGCTTTTATTCCAAGCACAGATAACAAAGTCTTTCAGTGGTACAAAAACTGCACTGTCACAGGAACTAAATGCTTCCTACTTGCTCTTGTACTGCTCTACATTCATACTGAAGGTTCAAAATACTTCTAATGATTGTACTGCCTTGCTCATGGAAACCTGCCAAGGCTGAGCACAGGACAGGACAAGGGATAGGTCTAGATTTATCTGTTTTCATTTCATGCGCGACTTGATAGACTACACTGAATGGGAGTGCCAAAAGAAAAGGTAAGGCTCCTTTTCGCAATCTACAGCAAACAAGACCGCTCCCATGCGTGTTGTAAACCCTTTGTACCTTCTCAATAGGAAGGCCCACAACACTGTGTGAGACGATGGGGAAAGCAGAGATATGGTTAATCAGGACTTACTGGGATTTTGAATTTCCACGCCCTTTCCTGCCCAACTTCGAGTTCGTTGGAGGACTTCACTGCCAGCCCGCAAAGCCCTTACCAAAGGTACCCAACTTTGTTCTGCCACTGGCTGGTTGTTCCTCTCCCTCATCAACTGTGCAAGCCATACTCTGGGGAAGCTTGCTCCTAAAGAAGGCACTCTGCTGCCAATGGCAAGCATGCAGCTATTTAGTAATCTGTTCATACTTGTGCAAACTGAGGGCTGGGATGACAGCCTGCTGTCTTCAAAGAAGATAGCTGAGATCAGCAGGAGGGAACACAGTGTTGCTTTAGGAAAAATAGGTGCAACCTCACAGTAGTTAAATGTAAGATTTAATTCTAAGACACAGACTTGCAGCCTACAGTAACACTGATATACCTGATGCAAAAAGGCACTGTGACAGGACAAATTATTTAGACAAAATGGAGTCCAGACTTGCACAGTGATGAACACTTTTCTACTGTTGCTTAGTTTAAGACATCTTAAAGTAAGTAAAATACTCAGCCTCTTCAGCCTACACTCTGCTGTGAATGGCAATACTCTGGTGAAATCTGAAACTCCCAGATACTAATGACCGCAACACAACAAGCTCTGGTCCAGATTATCATTCCTGTAGGAGCCTTAGAGGAGGTAGGGTATTTTCAGGGCAAGTTGTCTGCTAAAAGAAACCTTCCTCCTCCCCTGTCGCAGGGGTTGAATTGAGGAAAATGGATAACCATTCTCTTTTGGATGCTACTGCTCCATTTCACATGACACTAAATATAAAAAGGAACAGGAAAACCTATTGGTTTGATTTCTAGAAAATTTGTTTAGCAGCATGTGCTGTATTGCGAAAAATAGAGAACTGGCTGACTCACAATAACAGTGACTCGATCTCATCAGGATGCTGGAAAGCCCTGTCAGTTTTCAGCACTGTCCCTTCCTGCAGAGCTATGAAATGCAAAGTACTTGTTCCAGGAAAATCCAGAATCATGACTGACTATGCTAGGGAAGGTGCCACTGGTGCAGCCCTCTCACACCAGTGCCAGGATCCATTCCTACTGCTTGTGTTCTGAAAGAAACGTGTCCTGAAACTGCCTGACTCACTTTCAAGAAGACAAAGCTTTGCCACATGTCTCAACTTGTCGTGCACCTTCTTGGGGAGAAACTGTTCTGCACAGGGCCAGATCTCTCTTTGTAATACCCTTGTGTAGCCAGAGGTGCTTATACACCACCATCATCTTGATAAGTTAAAAAGGTTATGCCCCCTCTTCACAGAAAACTGTTTAATCTGCAGTGCATAATTACTCATAGTATGTGTTCTTCCTCTCCTAGGAAATGGAAGAATTTGTTCAGAGCTCAGGAAAACACGGCATTGTGGTATTCTCTCTTGGGTCAATGGTCTACAACCTAACTGCTGAAAAAAGCAACATCATTGCCAGAGCCCTCAGCCAGCTTCCACAAAAGGTGAATTTCCTTTCAAGTCTAAACCAACTTGCCTTGCTTTTAGTCACTCCTGTTGCTTTCAGCAAGCCTTTTACATTTGGACTGGCCTGTTTTTTATCTGCATCTCTGCTGCATGTGCCACACTTGGGAAGCTGGGCTCTGCAGAGGGGCAGACTGCTGAGTCAGCTCATGGGGAGTTCTGGTGTTGCCCCTTCTCTGAACCAAATCACATGGAGGTGTGTCCATAGGCCAAAATACAAAAAAATCTCTCTATGTGATTTTTATAAGCACATAGTAACTAATCAAAGAGCTAAACTGAAGCCAAAACTATTTGAATTACTGACAAAAGGTACATGGGTTGGAGATAAAGCCCTAGATTACATGTAATAATACAGAAGGGCATGTCACATGCACAGCGTTTATCTTTTTCTTTGTTCAAGGTCCTCTGGCGGTACAAAGGAAAAAAACCAGAAACTCTCGGCTCCAACACCAGGATTTATGACTGGATACCCCAAAATGACTTGCTTGGTGAGACTAATTCTATCTGGGATTCAATGAGTCCTTGGAAAAACCGTTTGTTTTTTCCACTAAAATGGCTTATTCAAGGCAAAACAATCACATAATACTTGTGGCCACAATTAGTTCTATAGCTTAAACAGCAGAGGTTTGCTCTTGAAGCCTTAACTTCGTAGCCTATTTTTGACTTAAGATGGGTTGCTGTACAAGAACCATGGAAGATGCATCCAGGCTGTGAAGGAAGTTGAGCAGTAGCTGAAGAAGGCAGTAACTTGAGCTTAGCTATGGAGATGCATCTCTAAAGCAAAAGGCTTTCTTATGGAGCTCAGTGGCAATTGTCTGGAAGGACTAAAATAAACCTGCAGGCATGAGTTAATATGAAAGTAGACATGTACTCTGGAGGTCCATTTGGCCTGTGTAGTTAATCTTCAGAGCTCATTCTTTAAAATCCTTGACCTAAGCAAGGCTGCAGCAGGGGGCTGTTGTGAACCTGGTATCATGTAGAAGCTGTACCTGCACAACAGCAGACAGGCTGAAGTAACTCTGGGACAGTCTGGAAAACATGCTGATTCACACACTGCATTAAAATAAACATGCATGCGTGAAAGCTGAGTGTGCAAGCTCTGATGCTGAGTCAGAGATCACGGCTGTTCCCTTCTCTAGCAGTCCAGGTGCCTGGGTAGTTTGCAGTGCTCACAGCCTAGTGAATCTAGTCTGCCACAGTTGCTGTTATGAATGTCTCTCCTTCCAGGCCATCCACTGACAAAGGCCTTTATTACTCATGGTGGGACCAATGGGATCTATGAAGCTATCTACCATGGGATCCCAATGGTTGGGATTCCCATGTTTGCTGACCAGCATGACAACATGGCTCACATGAGAGCAAAGGGAGCTGCAGTCGGGCTGGATTTCAGCACAATGACGACGCAGGACTTAGTTGATGCACTGAATACAGTCATTAACAATTCCACGTGAGTTTTGTTCTTGCCTTACAGTGGGATGAGGTTATTAAAATCTTGGGCTGCTGATGTGAGAAGTTCTGGTGTCTCCTCTGGGAACCAAAAATACTGAGTAGCTGGAGTCTGGGTTTCAGATAAAAACTGTCTTTCATTTCTGAGCATCAGCATTTCTCAGAGATCAGAAATTTCATTTTCCTCATACTACATTTTATGATCCCTTTGAGAAGAAGTTCTTGGAAAACCCAGAGCAACTCTTGAGACGGTTTTCTGCTCTCTCTCCCTTGACAATTACAGCTGTAGTATGTCTATGCTGTCTGTAGCCACAGTTCCTTCTTCTACACCCGAGCTACCCACATCCTTAGGTTACCGTACCTATCAGTCTGGAATTGGAGGGTAAGGAAGCCTGGCAGCTGGAATCCCTTGCTAAGGATAAGACCATTGACAAAGGATTAGAAAAAAGCCAGGAGTCCTCAGCTTTGGCTGTGACTTTTGTCAAGGGTGAAGGACCTGAAAATTTCCAAAGCAAATAGACAAACATTGATGATATCCAGTATCTGAAGGAATTAACCATGGTGAAAGTGATCTATAATGACCTGGATGTTGACCAGGCATCCAAAGACCTGGATGCAATCCACTGCATGCAGCTCTGTCCTCCCCTGCCAACCTCTCCCTTAGTTTTAATGCTGGCCATGACATCGTAAGATATGGAATATCCCTTTGGTCAGTCAGGGTCATCTGTCCTGCCTATGTCCTCTCCCAGCTAATTGTGCATCCCCAGCCTACTCACTGGCAAGGTGGTGTGAGAAGCAGAAAAGGCCTTGACTCTCTGTAAGTACTGCTTATCAGTAACAAAAACATTCCTTTGTTATCAACAGTGTTTCCAACACAAACCTAAAACACAGAATCACAGAATGGTTTGGGTTGGAAGGGACCTTAAAGCTCATCCAGTTCCAACCTCCTGCTGTGGGCAGGGACACCTTCCACTACAGCAGGTTGCTCAAAGCCCCATCCAACCTGGCCTTGAACACTGCCAGGGATGGGGCAGCCACAGCTCCTCTGGGAAATCTGTGCCAGTGCCTCACCACCCTCACAGTAAAAAACTTCTTCCCAATAGCTAAACTAAATCTACCCTCTTCCAGTTTAAAACAATTACCCCATGTCCTATAACTACACATAGCCCATACCAGCTACTATGAAGAAAATTAACTCTATCCCAGCCAAACCCAGCACTCTGTATTATATTGGAACAGAAAAATGCTGCAGATGTTCACATGCTGCTTTTTTTAAAAGGAGTATCTGGAATATTTTTGAGTAACATTCCTTTATAAAAGATTAGCTTTCTCTATTACTGTTCATAATCCAGTTTTATGCAGATAAGAGTAAACTGGGCAAGTTTCAAATATATTTGAGTAACACTGATGAAAGTAAATGCAGGGATGTCTACTTTCCTCAACACTGGCAGGTGCTGAATGGGTTGTTTCAGGAATCAGTGAGAAATCTCATTGGTTTCTTCTTTTTTCCTCAGCTATAAGGAAAATGTTCTAAGGTTATCCAAGATACACCATGACCAGCCAATCAAGCCTCTGGACAGAGCTGTCTTTTGGGTTGAATTTGTCATGCGTCACAAAGGAGCAAAGCACTTGAGACCAGCTGCTCACAATCTCACCTGGTACCAGTACCACTGCCTGGATGTTCTGGCATTCTTGTTCACCTGTACAGCCACTGCTGTCTTCATTCTTGTCAAGTGCTGCTTATTTTGCTGTAGGAGACGTGGCAAAGGGATTGCAAAGAGGAAGAAAGAATAATCATCCTGTTTCTGTCAGCACTTTTTCTTCTCCTATGCCCATTCAGCAAGGCATTTATGCACATACCTTCCCAAATAAAATGATTAGCATATGCTTTAAGCTGGGCGTATCATGAAGCACCCCACTGAACTGGGTCATACTAAAAACCTGTTGTGAGGCAGGGCTACTTGCTTGACCAGCAAATTCCTTCTGGCCTAAATAAGATCAAATTGTAGCTGCTTTATCCCTTGGGACCCCTTTAGCTGATAACACATATGATCTGCAGAATAATGATTGTTGGTCGAACTTTTCAAATTCATTTTGGTATTGCACAAATTCAGCCTTCCCATATGTGGTACTGTGGGTCCCTTAATCTGCATCTAGTCTCCTTACCTTAACTCTGTCCTCTCCTGTAATAACACCCAGGTTTGATGATTCACAACCAAAATGCCTCTCCTGTCAGAATAGCTCTCTCCAGATTGGAGTCATGGGCTCCTAAAAAGCACCCATCTGAATGGCCAAGATCATGAAAACCTGGGAGCTGTAAGTGCCTGGTGAAGCCTGTATATCACATTTGTACAAACGCACTACTTGGCAGCTGAAGGGAGACCAAAGTCCCAAAACCACCAGAGAAATTACTTTGTTGAAAATAACTTCTTTCCCATTCAGTCTGCAGTCCTCCTGCACAGGCCACTGTTCTAGCTGCAATCGTATGAAGGTGTGAAAACCACCTCTGTCAGAAACTTGCCCATCTTAGTCCCCCAACGGCCCCTGAGCCATGCTAACTCATAAATACAGGAAAACTTCTAGACATGGAACTTGCAAGGAAGTAACATTACATGTGGGAGCACTGCAAAAGTCACTTGCCTTGCCTGAAAAGTTTTTGGGAAAATAATGTTGCTCTTGGATCAGGTAAGAGTGGTAGTAAATACAGCACTCCTTAAATTGTTCAAGGTGCACTTACTGACGAAAGCCCGCTAAAATTGTTTGCTGAAGCCTCCTGTTCTAGGCAAGATTGTTCCACTGCTGTGCCAGCTTACTCAAGAAGGAACCAATCCCAATTTTAACTGGTATTTGTGGTATTCTGGATGCTGCAAAATTGTTTTCAAATAGAACAGGCTGAGAAAACATGGCATATTTGTTTACATAATAAAATTCCTACACTCTGTTAACTTTATTAGCATTGTCAATGGCTTCAATGTCTGCTCAAATCTCTTCGAACTACAACATTTACAAAGCTCAAGTGAATTGCTTCCATGCTAAAGAAGGGTTAGAACAAGACTAGTGCTTCACATAGTTAACTTCTGCTACACTGTTCCTATGGTCATGATGGGATCATATGCAGGAATACCCACTGAAATACGCATAGTAAACAGAAAGTGGCCAGCCTGACATTCAGGCTGCAGATCTGAAAGGTTTTTCGGTAACTGTTCATAGAGCCTTGTCCCTAGGCACTACTCCACCAAGCTTGATCACTAACAGCCCCCATCATCCAGCTTCTGCCAGCCAAGATTTGATGAGGTGTTAGTCTGGTTGCCAGTAGGCCAGCAAGCCTGTTAATACACTACTGGGACACTGATCAGACAGGGCTAACAAAGTACTCAGGAAAAAGGATAGCTGGGAAGGGCTGGAAGAGAAAATGCTATGCAGTCACTTTACAGAGGAGCTTCTTTTCTGTAACTTAAATCAGATAAAACTGGCTTAACTAGTATTGTATTTAAAAAATAAACATAAAATGAACCAAAACCAATCCTCCCCCTTGAGAGTAACGGAATTGTTTAGATTAGAAATAATCTTAAAATCATCTAGCTAGAACTCCCCTGCCATGGGTAGGGATACCTCACACTAGACCAGGTTGGTCAAAGTCCCATTCAACCTGGCCTTAAACACTGCCAAGAATGGGACATTTATCACTCCTTCAGGCAACCTGTGCCATTGCCTCATCACTCTAACTCTATATAAATATTAATAGTCTGTATATAAAGCAGATAATGATATCAAAGAATGAAGGCGGTCTATGATGCATTTCTCCAACTAGACACAGTATATGTGCTGAACTGGACAGACTGATCTAATCCTACTGTTAATGCACATACCTCTCAGTGCACAGTAGACTGTTCTGAGGAATATAACATTCAACATCTAAAACATTCCCAATATACTTGCATGCTGGGAGGTCAAACTTCTTGTTTAGCACATGTAGATGCTTACTATAGCTGCACAGACTAAAATATACAGAGCCCAAATTATCTAAAACACAAGTTTCCACAACTGCCACATTGTGGCCAATCCTGTATTACAGTTCGTAAAAACGGCTACAGCACTCAGCACTGTGGAGTTGGAGGTCTTTAAAGCAAATGCTACAATCTGGCTTTGTTATGCGAGAAGTCACTGAAGAAAGGTTATGAAGGCCACTGAGGCAGTGCTACTCACACAAGTGGCTTGGGTCCAGCTGTTAACGGTTATTTTTCCCCCTTAGTAGCTGGTGCAGTGCTGTGTTTCGGCTTCAGTCTGAGAACAATGCCAATAACACTGATGTTTTAGTTACTGCTAAGAAATGTTTACCCCTATCAAGGACTTTTCAATCTCTCATGCTCTGCCGGTCAGGAGTGGCAAATGAAGCCAGCAGGGAGCAGAGAGCACACCTGACCCAAACTAGCCAAAGGGGTAGTCCATACCACAGCACATCATGCCCAGTATATAAACTGGGGGGAGTTACCCAGAAGGCCCAGACTGCTCCTCAGGTCAGGCTGGGAATCAGTTGGCAGGTGGTGAGTGGTTGTATTATGCATCACTTGGGTTTATTGTTGTTTTTTCCCCCTCCCCCTTTTAGTTTCATTTTCTCTCCCCTTGTTACTTCCCTTGTCATTAATTAGTGGTAAGAGCAGTAGTTTTGTATTATACTTTAGTTACTGGACTGTTCTTACCTCAACCCATGGGGTTTACAATCTTCTGATTCTCCTCCTCATCCCACCCAGGGGAGGGGAAGGAGCGAGCGATCAGCTGAGTGGTTCCCAGTTATCAGTTGGGCTTAAACCATGACAACAAGTTTTGAGAAGTGCAAAATAGGTGCAGAAATTGAACAACTTCTACTACAAGTTTTACTTCTTTTTTTCAGTTTTATCATTGGCACTCAGGTTGAAGTATTTCTTAGATCAGAGAAAGCAAGTGATGCAGTAATCACTATAAAGAAGACATGGGGAGAGCCTCGGTCTTGCACAACTAACACACTCCTGGGAGACAGGTATGATTATGGCCAAGGATAGCCTCTTGATAGCTTGAGGATCATTTCATTAAGTTAAATGTGTATGGCCTTAACTCCGATTAGCTGCAGGAGCTGTTGACTACTTCACTGTGGAAACAGAAAATCAATTATCTTTTATTTCAGAAGTTCTTTACCTGAATTCAGGCTTCAACTTCACTTATCACAAGAACCTATTATCTATTTTTGAAGACAAGTACTTTCCTAGAGCTGCCAGAATCTATCAAAGCTGGCAAAGTTCGAAGACCAAGAAACTCGATCTGGAGTTTTAATCATTTCAATAGTTACCAATTTATTTTTATATAAAAAAAATTGTAGCAATGTAGAATACAGCAATATTTTCTGGTTCCACACAGGCAGGTTGTGAACATTCCAAGCAATGTGTACATTTGGGAAAGAGACTAGACAAGAGAATTGACCAAAATGTTACTGAACACAGGAATAGTTTTTAAAAACATTAAAAATTAGATATCAATAGTGTCTTCTTAATATTGCTTTCCTTACTGAAGACTGAAAAAACACTTGACTTTACAGATAGGGTTAAAAAATGGGGTCGAGAGGAGGGGGAAAAAAAAAAAAGGCTGCTACAACACTGCCATACAGTAAAAAAAAAAAAATCATACTTCAATATTTGCATACTTGATAGCAGCATTCTCCCACTGAACCATGTGAAAACACAGGAAGAAAACATCAAAGCAAATGAAAAAGGAAAAAAACAAAGGCAGTTATTCATCAGTATTCAAAAACCTAGAGTAAAGTCACTAAGTAGATGAACACTTATTGAGAATTAACCAATATCTACAATCTCGGCTGTTTCCCATTCTGCTCCAACAGAAACATGAAGTTGAGTGTCAGCTTCGCATGTTTTATTTTTGGCTGATTTGGGTTTTTCCAGTTCACAGTTCACTGCATGCTTGGAATAGAGAGGGTCATTATAAATCCTTCTACACAATGAACTTTAAGTAGACAGCTGAAAATAAAAGGTACTACTTGTAAACACACAAAAAAATACAAGCTTTTGTTTCAAGTGAGCACTGGTTCCAGATAGATTATCTTCGGTATCTACCTCTTTCACCTCTGTCTCTGTCCCGGTCACAAATCCTCTCTCTCTCCCTTTCACGATCCCGGCCTCTGTCACGTTCTCTGTCTCTTCTGTTATCTCTAGGACGGTCCCGTTCCCGCTCTCGGTCCCTCTCCCGAGGCCTGCTTCTCCGTCCACTGACAACTGCTTGTGTGCGGCGAAGAAAGTCATCTACTCTCATGTCATAGTCGTGCTGTGATGAAAGGACAGCTATGTTTATTTCTTTCCCAGGTTAAAATCCCCTCCTTGCCTTATCCGTAAGATTGGCTGTAGCTCTTGGAGGTGTGGGGTGGGGGGAATTATGTCCAGCATTCAGGGGACGTTCAGGTTAGATATAAGGAAGAAATTCTTCACTGTGAGGGTGGTGAGGCACTGGCACAGGTTGTCCAAAGAAGAGGGGGCTGCCCCATCCCTGGCAGTGTTCAAGGCCAACTTGGACAGGGCTTGGAGCAACCTGGTCTAGTGGAAGGTGTCCCTGCCCATGGCAGGGGGGTTGGAACTAGATGATATTAAGGTCCTTTCCAACCCAGACCATTCTGTGATTCTATGATCCATAAGCCCAAGTTTCTTCTTTCATCTTCAGGGTAACACTATGTGTGTGCCTCCACTGTACAGACGCTTGGGTTCAAGAGACCTGAAAGCTAAGCCGCCTTCAAAGCCATCTAACAGAAATTATTGAACAATCTGCTACTTTTTGTCTAAAAATTTATAAAAAACACAGACTTTTCTGCTGGTAATTTTGTCTGCATGAGCACAAGCAATGTTGCAGGCAAGTCCTTATTCACACTGGGCTTCAGCATGAAAACTTTCAGACCTGGACAGCTGGAAGCCATTTTAAGCGCACATCTCAGTGCAAGAGTTATGTTCTGAGTATTTTGCACTTACACATCACCTGTGAGAGAGGCTTTTAAAGAATGCTGGAAGTCTCTAGTCAATCTTAATAACTGCTCTTTCCAAGGAAAACTAAGACAGGTCTTAAAAATGCAGTTTATCAAAATCAACATGTCTCAGGTTTGGCTACATCTGTACCCCAAATTCGTACTCTGGCCTGCAGACTCTTGTCACCCTCTGTCTCCGTGGACACTTACTACTCTTTTGTCTCTGTATCTTGCTTCATGTGGTACAGGATGATGTCCTGAGTATGGAGGGTGAGCCTGAGGTGGAGGTGCATGGTGCTGATAGTAAGGGTGGTGTGGTGGTTGCTCCATACCTGGATACGGTGGCTACAAGAAAGTTACAGGAAGTTGGTTGAAGATTTAAAAAAAAAAAATAAAAAAATAAAAAATGCACACACAGCTGAGCCCTTGGAATTAAGAACAAAAGATACTGCCATTCAGACGGAAAGCATGACACCTAAATATATGTGATTACAGCTTCCTAAATGAACAAACAGCAGACCATGTTACATTAAGTTGCATGCTTTACTACTTCTCTACCATTGCTTTTTTAGAAGTCTGGGCAAAACCCTTCCCAGCCCCCAACCATGCCCTTCCCACGACACTGTACATGAAAACTTTGCTACTTAAATGTTGGTTGCTCATTTGTTTTCTTTTTTTTTTTTTTAATCTATCTATATGGAATGTGAATTCTGTCCAAACCAGCAAGCTTTTCTGTGCCACTCCTTGTAACTATATTCCTATTTTAAATGAGTAAACTTACTCTGCAAGACAAATTCTATGACAAAATGTTAGATTTTTTTTTCTTTTAAACAAGATGTGTCTTGGCTATTCTATTCCGTTTCTTCAATCAGCAACGCCTTTCTTTCCCATATAACCGAAGCATCTTTGCTCTTATTATTGTCACAAAGGAAGCAGGTGGAAGTGCTGGCTTTTAG